AAAAAAAAAAAAAAAAAAGAAAGAAAAAGTAAAAAACCGAGAGGGAAAAATACAAGAGAAAATACATGGTATGTAGATGAGAAACGGAGAACTGTAAAGTTGTTTTTCTAGGTTAGGGAATTTGAAGAAAGTGGAACTGGAATTTTTTTTCTTCGAATTTTAAAAATTTAGATCGCGCAAATGTGAAATAGGTTAGTCTAATTTACGATCTGCAAGCAAGTAGATGAAATTGGATTAGGAAAAGTACAAAATATGGATTAGATCAAGGACCAAGCAGAAATGTTGCGAAATTGTAGGATTTAGGTGGAAGGTGAGAAATGACAAAGAAACTTTTTAATGCTTCTTCTCATGTATCAGAAATGAAAATTTGACAGTATCGTACGAAATATTACGATAATCTTGATTCTTAATGGCTTAATTGTGTTACAACTCCAATTTTCCAATTTAAACTCCTAAAAATCTTAGAACTATCCTTGTTAGAAACAACAGCTCCTAACCTCAAAAATTCATTTCATAATCTAAATGCAAACGAATGAAATACACTGTTCAGTTTCTCAATTCTTCGATCTAACAGATTCCTCAAAGTCTCGTAAACCATTTCGAAACATCGATACTTCTCTTCTTAACCTCTAAGCTCAGAACCTAAGATCGAAGATAGAAACTTTTTAATGCTTCTTCTCATGTATCAGAAATGAAAATTTGACAATATCGTACGAAATATTACGATAATCTTGATTCTTAATGGCTTAATTGTGTCTTAAAAAAGTCTTAGAACTATCCTTGTTAGAAACAACAGCTCCTAACCTCAAAAATTCATTTCATAATCTAAATGCAAACGAATGAAATACACTGTTCAGTTTCTCAATTCTTCGATCTAACAGATTCCTCAAAGTATCGTAAACCATTTCGAAACATCGATACTTCTCTTCCTAACCTCTAACCTCAGAACCTAAGATCGAAGATAGAAACTTTTGTCGCTGGTGGTACGTGACCGAGGCGGAGCGTGAAAGCGGCGAATTCGTGGCTAGAGAAGGAGAGGTCATCGCGATCCCCCGGTCGTTTGCAATTCCAGCGTAGAACAGGCAGCCGGCAGAGCCTTGAACCTGAGAGATGATGTCAGAAAAATCTCCATGAGATTCACCGTTCCCCTTCGCGCGATATTTCCTGTTTGTCGAAGCGCGTCACGCGTGTCGCCGTGGCTTCCAGCACGTTTGCCAATTTCGAGGTCGCGTTATATTCGCTTTATATTCGTCGATCATCGCGATGCACAACGATCAGGAAGGGAGCACGCACTTGCCGGCTTGGCAAATCACGTTAAAATCGTAACTGGATTTTCGCACGGACGCGACCTCACGTCCTCGTAAACGTTTCGTTGCTTCCGTGGAATCGAATTAATTTCGACTTGTGTCTCTTTTTTTCTGTCTTTCTCTCTTTTTTTTTTTTTTTTTTAGGGAAGGTTAGTCCTGTCCAGTGGTGAAACGTGATTACAGAATTTATCGAGAATCGTTGCTCGCTTTTCCAAGCCGATTTACTCCGGTTAATGTCGAATTTGTTGCCTCTGACTGCTGGTTCTTCACGGGGGTAGTATATACTCGGTGTTCAAAGATCAAAGAACTCGAGAGTTTTGTTGCAGAAGAGGAATTAAAATTCGATGAAGAATGTAAAATGGAATACTTTGTGTCTTTCGATTCTCCGAAGTTAAGATCTGTTAATCTAACCTGTCAACGGTGCATTTCAATTGTAGTTTCTTTCTCAATCTCGTTCCTTGTGGCTGCCGATTCTCAACGCGAGTGTATACTGGGTGTCCAAATAAATTTAATTTCAAGAATCTTACAGAAGAAGATAATTTGGCGACAGAAATCGTGAGAGAAATTCAGAGATCCATCAACGACACGATAGTTGAAAATGAAAGCAACGTATAATTGAATTAAATCATGCAGCTAGCATGATTCAGCAGCGCGAAACGTAATACGTATGTGTCAACCAGTCACGCTGGCGGCAATATTTCGTAGCAAAAAAGTTGGACTATCAAAGGACGGCTATCATTTAGCAGATAATGACGGAAAAACAGCCGATCGATCCGGCGGATTAACTCAAATGCAAGCCGGTTAATGCGTTCTTCGGTGATCGCGTGCCGCCATTTTTCGCGTGCGAAGGAGCCGACTCTGTGGGGGGCGGAAAAAAAAAAAAAAACGTGTAAACGTCGCCGTTTAATGGAAACACGGGGACACGGACTCGTAACGGTCCGAGCTTCTGTGTAATTATTGCGCGCGTGAGGGCTCTGTTTCGCATGTCGACGAGCAACAATGCACCACAATGCACCGCGGGAACAAATTCGTTCAAAGAGCAAGTTAAAAAAGAACAAAAAAAAACGAGGGAGAGAAAAGAGAAAATGGTTAAAAGAACTGGCACGCTCGCCTTTGTGTCTATTAATTATTTCAACGTTGTTCGACGACGGAACAATAGTTTTTCGCGATTTATTGTTCGTTGATCATTTTTCTTTTTTTCTTTTGTTTCTCCTTTTGAAACACCCGATATATGAAGACAGTCATTGATCATTTAGTAAACTGTGGATTTCTGTGCATCTGTGGAAAATTCAAGAGATGTAAAGATGCAAAGAGACGAAGTATGCATTTGCAATTATTATTACTGTTATTGTCAATTGATAAATCAAATTATCAAATTATTATTCTTAAATGAGCTTCGAGTTAATTAAATTATTCTTCTACAGCTAAATCAAGGGATTAAATTATTCTAGATAAAAAGACAAAAATTGGTATTAAAAATTTGCAGTCTAAAATTTATAGTTGGCTAACCTAACGTTTAACCTTCGATGGCTTTTGACTCTGTATACCAACGATCGAAATATGGGGATGAATTTTTCATGGACGCAGTCTGAGATGATCGTTTTAGGATTTGAAAGTAGTGTCGTGAAACAGTGGATCGACCGCGATAGTATTTCAATTTCTGCGACACGGGGAACGCGGTTGGTTAGGTTTAGGTTAGGTTTGTCACTGACCCATTTTTCTTTTCGCCTCGATCTTATCACTCATGGTAACCTGCACGTTATATTTTTTCTTTTTTTTTTTTTCGCCGTCTAATCGCTGCCAAGGAGTAGTTCTTGCTCAAACATTGAAACGACATTTACTACATGCTATACTTATCGTCGCATTAGGAACGTTCTCCAACTATCCATCTTCTTAATCTTTAGATGGATCGTTAAATTTAAATTAACTTTCAATTTATGCAATTTTGATGGCTGTATCATGCGCATTGACAGAATTCTCACCGTTGTTTGAAACGTATAAAATCATGCGAATCTACGTATAATTATAAAGCTGCACACGTGTCCAAAATGGACACCCAATATATAGATTCTGAGGATCCAGAAATTTCTCTGTTCGAATATCAATTAATATAATACTGTTAGCTATTATTGGCAAAGAGATTTTACAACTTGAGTTCGACTCGGAACGGACACCCGGTGGATAACTTCTGAGAATGCAGCAGTTGGCTTATTTTTCACGTCGGGAGTCGTTGGGGTAAGATCCCCGGGTAGCTCGATGGAAATTCCTGGCGGTTGGCTGGCTTCCGTTTCCATTCTTTCGAGTGCACTCCGTTCGAAGTGCCGTTCATCCTCGATCGTTAGCTAATTGCAGCCGTAAATTAGACGGACGCCCGCGTGGCCCGTAACTCCTTGTTCATTTATAATCACTTCCGCGAAATTTCCTCAGGTGCGTGTTAATTAATGGCCACACCATGCTAATCAGCGGCCTATCCTTTTCTACATCTACTCTCTGGTTACTAATTAATTTCACTATTGCTTTTCTTCATCATCTGTCTGTCATCCACACGTTGCTATAATACTGAAATCATTTGTAGCGAGGAGGGACCGAAGCATCAAAAATGTTTATAGATTGTGTC